CTCTTAGGTTGGAGGCCATCGCTCTTAGGTTGGAGGCCATTGCTATTAGGTTGGAGGCCATTGCTATTAGGTTGCAGGCCATCGCTCTTAGGTTGGAGAAGGTTGCTATTTGGTTGGAGGCCTTTGCTCTTAGGTTGGAGACCGTTGCTATTAGGTTGATCTCGGTGATGTTCTTTAATTATTCTCACTTAAAGGCAGATAAGACATTTGAATCAGCTGCGGCAGTTCTGGACCCATCAGCTGAGGCCAACTCCAGACCCACCCTCCACCGCTTTCGGGGCTTTCCGTCTCCGATGCTCTCAGCCACTTCTCGTTTTGGCTATGTTGTTTGCATGTTTGGAACATGTAATGGAAAAGAGTTTTCGTAGTGTTCTTTGTGTTTTCTTTGCACTTCTGCTTCTTGTGTTTCTTCGACATTGAACCAGCAATTCCGGACTCGTTCATCTCTGTTTGTCTTCGTTGTCCGCGGACTTTTCAAAGAGTCGTTTTTGTTGAAAAAACATCCAATTGGAGTCCTTCAGGTCTTGGACTGCCTTTTCGACTCTGGCTTGAGGGACATTGAGCTCCACGGTATGGGTCCGCTGGGCACAGAGGAGAAGCGGCAAAAACCGTTCCATGCAAAGAACCAAAGCGTTGCACAAAAAAACATGTAATATCTTGTTACTAGTACTAGTAACTTCTAGTTACTAGTAGCTACTTGCTCCTAGTAGTATAGCCAGGAGCCCCTAGTAGCGTCCTTGCTCCTAGTGGCGATGCCCTTTGTTCCTAGTAGCTTCGGCCTCCACCGAGCATAGCGTCCTAAAACATTACATGTTATATAGAAACAAGGGTTCACTCTTGTGCACTGCCAGCTGTATTGAAGGCCAATATGGCAAATGTTTGAAGGTGAAAGCAGTCGTGAGACGTACAACAAATCTGACAGGTCTTGTGCTACTTGCCATTATCCGCAGGATCTGTACAACCTGACCGAGTTCACCTACTTGTTGCCAGTGGCTGGGCTGAACTTTGCTCAGACATCAAAGGCCTCCAACCTAATAGCGATGGCCTCCAACCCAAGAGTAACAGAACACAATCTCTTTCCTTTGGACCTTGAGACCTTTCTGCTGTGTTCTTTGTTGTTTTTTGTTTTTAAGTCTGGAAAGCGGGTCGCCATGTCCCTCAAACAAAGCCCAGCATCGGGTCCCAGTCGTGGGCGCAAAGCCATTAGAATTGTAATAAGTAGCTTCTTGTTCCTAGTAGTAAGGCCCTTGCTCCTACTAGCGATGCCCTTTTTACTAATAGCTTCTTGTTACTACTAGCGATGCACCTGTTACTACTAGCGATGCACTTGTTACAATTAGCTTCTTTTCTGGTGTTGCGCTTCACTATGCCCAAGGTGGCTTCATTGGCCTCGTTCCTCATGGAAGAGGGGACTCTGTATCAAGGTCTTCTTCCTCAAACAGGCACCACTGCCGCCACGGCCACTTGGACCGAAAGCGATGGTTTCGTTGGACCGAGGAGCGCCTAGGAATCGATCCTAGGACCTTATCTCCTTGCTACTTGGGTGGTAAGCATCGCTAGTAGGTTGGAGTCCATTGCTAGGTTGGAGGCCGATTTGGAAAAACAAGGGAATGTAGGTGATACAGCTTTCCAGACAACCGTGGCTTCCGACGCTGGGTCCCATCCAAATTGTGCTTCGTCTCCAAGTGCTTCAATAGCACCTAGTAGCGTCCGATCGCTCCTAGTAAGGCCAGCTAGCTTCTTGTTACTAGTAGCGATGCCAGGAGCCCCTAGTAGCGTCCTTGCTTGCGTGTACCCCTTTTGCAAATGTTTGTTGAGAAAAGATGGAAAAGAGAATAAAGAAGCAACACATGCAGGGTTATTGAATGGAGACATGTTGGTTTTTGTCATCTCACGTCCTCCGAATAGCAACAAGAACATGTTCTTTTGTAATATCTTTCAATTGCAATAAAAGGAAGTGAATGAAGAAAAAGGAGGAAGAAGAAGAGAAAGGTCAAGAGAAAACCACAAGTGTACTCTACGGACTCCGCTACTAGGGGCTCCTGGCCTTACTACTAGGAGCAAGGACACTACTATATAGGAACAAGGGCATCGCTACTAGTAACAAGAAGCTCTTTAGACTGGTGTTTCGCAAGAGCTCTTTAGACTGGCCAAGGCCTTGGGACTTGCAGAGTCGGCTGCTGCAGCCTCTGCTGCAGAGGGTGCAGCAACGGCAGGGAGACTTAGAAGACTTAGAGTGACTTAGTAACAATGTGCATTTCTATTAGTAACAAGAAGCTGCTAGTAACCAGGGCATCGCTACTAGTAGCAAGGACGCTACTAGTAGCGATGCACTTGTTACTAGTTGCGTTGTGGTCAGACAACGGTTGGCACTCTGGAAGTGTCCTTTTTGGCCACCGAAAACTGTAGACCTGTGCTGCCACCGACTTCCGTTTCCGACGTCGATTGGTTCTTCGATTACCAGCGCGACAAGGTTCAAGTCAGCGGAGACCCTCAAGAGGTTGCAGACACTCGGCAGTGGTTGCAGTCTTCATGAAAAAGAGTCTAGTAGCGAACATTGCTCCTAGTAGTACGGCCAGCAGCCCCGAACGTAGCGTCCGAACGCTCCGTTCGTAGCGATGCCAGGAGACCCCTAGTAGCTTCTTGAGTCTTAAATGGAACTTCGATCAATAAAACCTAATTACAAACATTGTTACTACTAGTAAGGCACCTGTTACTACTAGCGTGGCACTTGTTTCTAATAGCAAACATTGTTACTACTAGCGATGGAAGTCCCATTCTGTACATTCTGTGCAATCTAATTGCGCGTCTTGTGCGTGTGGTTCTTTGCTTCAGAAAGTTTCGTGCTAGCTTTCGTGCTTTCCACAGTGACGCTTCACATGTTAGAAGGCAATTGGGGGGGATTTGCCGGAGGCCATCGCTATTAGTAACAAGGGCATCGCTATTAGGAGCAAGAGGACGCTACTAGGGGCTCCTGGCCTTACTACTAGGAGCAAGGCCATCGCTATTAGGGTGAAATGCTCTGCCATGAAGATCCTTAGGAGACTCGGGGCTCTCTGGATCTTTTGGTGGCAGTCGGTCTAGTCCGGAGCCCAAGCTTCAGCCCAGACTTCCACACTACTACACTGCTACATCTCACACTCTACTTGTTCTTCTTTTTAAAGCTACTAGCCACTGAAGCTTCATGAAACTTCTATAGTAACTGGTTCCAGATTTGATAGCTCACGCTCGCACTAATCATTTGGTTCCTAGACTTTTGGGGAACCTTACAAACATTCTGCAAAGTCTTCTGACTTTCTTGAGCCGGCCGAGGTTGTCGTGTTTTGCGTCTCCAAGTTGCTCACACCTGTGAGTATGTGTGGAGGCTTAAAAAACAAATATTCGGCAAAAGAGACTGAGTATGTGTGGGCCAAAGATTAGTCCTAGAAAGACCTTTGCCTGCGGACTTCTTAGAATCATCTTTACTTTTTTATTTAGACTGTTTCTAAGACCTTATCTTACTTCCCCACATTGACGTGTGGTGTTTTTGTTTTTAGTGTGGTATCCGCTCCTCCTCCCTTCCTTCCTCCCTCCTCCTCGCTCCCCACCTAATTCCCACCCACCAATTGTCACCCACCAATTGTCACCAACCAAATGTCACCAACCAATCACCAACCAATTGTCATCAACGAAGTGTCGCCAGCCAAATATGATTTGCTTGCTAATTGTCTTCTCCAGCGGGTGGGATGTACGCCCTGGCGCTGGCTGGCGCAGCTGGGTCTCCGCCGCTGTTCCGCTGTGATTTGCGCGCGAGGTGTTCAAAAACACTGTGTTTTACAGGGCTTTGTGGGCGTGGAAGATCCACAATTTGGACAGTGACATGCAAAAACCGTGGGTTTTACAAGGGTGGTGTCGGTAATGCGCGCCGCCCGCACGTGCATAATCATAATTTTTTGAGTCATGGGCCCGTGTCAACGCAAATGGCGCAAAATGCACCCCAAGATGAGCCCCCCAAGATAGGTGCAAGATGGGTTAACGTGGCCCCGAGATGGCCTAACATAGGCCCAAGAGGGGCCCAAGATGGGCCAACAACAACAACTGGTGGGTGACAATTGGTTGGCGTGACAATTGATTGATGACAATTGGTTGAGGACCATGTTGTTTTAGAAAAAAGGCCCTCAAAAATAACCATTTCAGAAGGGCAGAGGCCTACCAACCAGTTGTCACCAACCAACTGCCACCAACCAATTGTCACCAACCAATTGCTACCAACCAATTGTCACCAACTAATTGTCGTCAACCAGCTGTCATCAACCAATTGCCTCCCACCAATTGCCACCAACAAACTGCCACCAACCAATTGTCACCCACCAACCACCAACTGTCCGCTCCTGTGTCTGGTGAAGTTGTGAACATGTGGGGTTATCCGTTCTGATTTTTGTTATCCTTTCTTCCTTTGTTTCTTCATTGTTGTGTTTGCATACAGCAACCTTCCAATTACCAAATCACACCAGCTCAGGTCACGAACACTGTTTGATCGAGCATCGCCCATCAATGTCAAGCGCTCAGAGGACGAGACAACGGACCTTGGACGGACCTCCAACCAAGAAGGCTACTAGGGGCTCCTGGCCTTACTACTAGGAGCAAGGTTCGCTACTAGTAACAAGGGGCATCGCTACTAGGAACAAGAAGGCTACTAGGAACAAAGGGCATCACTACTAGTAACAAATGCCTTAACTTACTAGTAGCAACAAAATAGAATTAAACTAAATTAATTTTTGCTTTTAGCCCGGGGGGGGAGGGTAGGCCGAGTAGAGGTAGGTCAGCTAGGCAGGTAGCTAGTAGGGAGAAGTAGCTAGTAGCTATATATTGTTTCTACTAGCTTCTTGTTACTACTAGTAAGGCACTTGTTACTAGTAGCGATGCACTTGTTCCTAGTAGCTTAAATAGCTACTAGTTAGGACGCAGGATAGCTCACGCTTCTTCAAGGAAGCTCCCCCCGGTGCCCTAAAGGCGGCGGAGGAAGCTTCCTTGAAGAAGTGCTCGCACTAATGATTTGGTTTCTAGATGTTTAGGGAAACTTAATCGATTTGATGAGTGTTGACAAGGTGCTGAAGTCTTTTGCTGGACATGTTTGAACCTATGGGATGCCAGGTTTGGAAATATCAACCACTGATGGTGGCAGCTCCAGTGTTTTTCTACGTTGGGATCTCAGTAATTTTGCATCTAGAATCCACAATGTGCTGTGAACTCATTTGCAATTTCATCCAACCTACTAGCGATGACCTCCAACTCATTTGCAAGGATGTTCTTAGCTTGAACAGCTATATCTCCAAGTACCAGGTGGGGATATCAGACGTGGGTCGACAAAGCTTCATACAGAGAGGTCTTGTTTCTACTAGCTTCTTTTTACTACTAGTAAGGCACTTGTTACTAGTAGCGAGGCACTTGTTTCTACTAGCTTCTTGTTACTGGGTCGACAAAGCTTCATACAGTGTTTATTTTGCTTCGCAGCCTTGCTGCGCTCCATATTTCTTGGACCGTTCATTCCTTTGTGGCCGATGTTGCTTGTTTTATGTAGACCTTATCTTCCGTGTTTCCTTTCGTCTATTTTAGACATTTAGTGCCGGTTTTGCATCTCTCTTTCTGTTTGTTGTCCAAACTTTTTCTGGAGCTGAGCTGCGGACTCGGGCAGATTTGCGTGCTGCTCCTCCTGGCAGCCATGAACGCAGTCTACCGGGCAGATATGTGGAATGTGACTTGCTCAGTTGCAGTTCGAATGCGCCTCACTGGGCTCTACGCAGCATACAATACTGGCCTCCAAGTAGCGTCCTTGCTTCTAGTAGCGAACCTTGCTCCTAGTAGTAAGGCCAGGAGCCCCTAGTAGCGTCCTTGCTCCTAAGAGCAATGGCCTCCAACCTGGCAAGTCACAAAATCCGTTGAAGTTGGTCAAAGTCTAAGGCTTTCAAGCGGAAGTACTTGCTTCTCCAGACACAGGAGCGGACCGATGGGGAGGAAATGGGTCGTTACCAGCAGTTGACGGGTAGTTCTGATCTATCCTTTGCATTCCGCACGGAGGCGCGACATACTCCTAAAGGATCCGATCCGAAATCCCCGGGTGTTTACGGTTTGGGGGGGGGCCATCGCTACTAGCAAAGGACGCCACTAGCTTCTGGTTACTACTAGTAAGGCACTTGTTCCTAGTAGCGATGCACTTGTTGCTAGTACGGTTCTTGCTACTAGTAGTTTCTTGCTTGCAACTAATAGCCCATGTTATACATACCATGCATCCGCTCGTCGAATGCACCATCGCTCGTCGACCCCTTGGACCCTTCGGATTCTCCGTCGATTCAGGACCTACACTACCAAGCACCGTCGACTGTGAGGCGATGTTGCGATGTTGCACTTGTTTCTAATAGCTTCTTGTTACTACTAGTAAGGCCAGGAGCCCCTAGTAGCGTCCTTGCTCCTAGTAGCGTGGCACTTGTTACTACTAGCTTCTTGTTACTACTAGTAAGGCACCTGTTACTAGTAGCGTGGCACCTGTTACTAGTAGATTGACTGAAAAGGCATGCCATGCCAGTTTGATGAACTTGTCATGACATGGCAGGCAACTGCAGCGAAAGACCTTGCTGCAGCAACGCGACCGCACTGAGCGATGTAGAAATTGGGCAAACTTCTGGAAATGTGAAGGGTTTAACGGTTTCGTAAAGGAAGCCTTTCTTGAAAGCCACGTTCAGACACCGATTCTCACAGGAGCTCAGGCACAGAGCTGAGGTTCCTGGAGCGAACATCGACAGATGACTACGCGAACATGCTCTTGGAGACGTCCATTGGACATGGCACCAACATTCGAGAGCTTGCACGGGACATGAGTGTAAGTGTCCGAGGCCCCAGTGTCGATCGGCGATCTGCGATCGCGTTGATGGAGTAGCAAAGCGTCCTTGCTGCTTTTCACGCATTTCCTCTCGATGCCTTGGACCCTTTGCTTCGCTTGGCTTTACTTTGCCTAGTAGCTTCTTGCGCCTAGTAGCGATGCCAGGAGCCCCTGCTAGCGTCCTTGCTCCTAGTAGCAATGCCCTTTGCTCCTAATAGCGTTCTTGTTCCTATGCTTCTGTTTGGATGCCTTCGACATCCTCTTGAATGTCTTGTCGTGTTGAAGTTCCTGCCCGTGGCGACATCCATGTCAGGTGTGACATTTAGCTCCTCAGACTTGAAGCCAAAGCAAGTATCTCCCGTCTTCAGTGCCTGTTCGATCACTCCTTCAGGTTGCAGTTCCTTTCTTGTCTTTCCGGACCTTTTCACCTGATTCTTCACTTGTTTGTTTTCTTGTAGTAACAAGAAGCTATTAGTAACAAGTGCATCGCTAGTAGTAACAAGAAGCTACTAGAATTAAACTGAGTTCTGAGTAACTTCTTGTTCCTAGTAGTAAGGCCCTTGTTCCTAGTCGCGATGCCCTTTGCTCCTAGTAGCGTTCACGTGAAGGTCTTCTTTCAAACTCCAAGGTCTGGGACCCTTCCCCCTCCTCCACGGCGGCATGGAAGCTGGCATTCTCCTTGGTCACGAAATCCTTGAGGCGAAAAGTGGGAAGAACCGCATAAATTAAGACATATAACATAATTTATATGTTTTGTAGATTTTTTTTTAAGAAAAGGGGGGAGCTTGACACACCAAAGAGAAAGTAGAATGCAGAGATGCCGAACTTTATCAACGATTGAACGGGGCTGAGTTCAAGTAGAACGTCCAAAACAGTCGAAGCCTACAGGTATTTACAGGTAGATCTACGCTCTTTTTTGTCAAAAGAGTCCTTTCCAACACAGTGACTCAGTGGGTTGCAGGCGCCAGAAGTTGCTGCGGAAGCAAAAGATGGACACCAAACAGGAAGTGCATCGCTTCATCGAGCGGATCGTCCATGAGCAGCTCAGCAGAGCAGGGCGCGAGAGCTTGAAAGCCCCAACGGCTAATGCCCCATAGGCGTCCTGTTTTGAATGTGCCCTGAAATTGTTTTCTATTTCTACGCCTGAGGCCCCTGCTAGCGATGGCCTCCAAGTAGGGCGCCCATAGGCCTTGAGGCTTACCCTTTTGTAGACCTTTCCTTTCATTTCTCCCTTCCGTTAGCTTTGATGAGCTTTGTACGGCAGCTGTGTATGCAGAAAGGGTGGATTACACCAGATCCAAGGATGGTAGACACCGCAGTAGACACTGCGGCTGGTCATGGGGCGCGCATGAAACTGGCAGGCAGGGGACACGCATTTCGACTGGACTCTCAGTCATTTCATCCGGCAGATCCCTACGATTCCATGTAGAATTGCCGTTTTCTGGGAGAAAAACGACAAGTAGCAACGGGCTTTTCAATTTGGTCCGGAATTTCAAGAACAAGTTCTGATGGTGTCAAACAATGGGTTTTTGTCTTGCAAGCAAGAAGAAATCTCCAACCATGTCAAGACAGAGTAAAGGGCTTTCGAGACAGCCTTCTTTCAGTCATTCTAGGAGCAGGCGAAAAGCTGTGCTTTTGTAAGTTGCTTTTTCACAAGGAAACGGTTAGAGGAGAGTTTTGAGATTGGATGAAGAACATGAAGCAACATGAAGCTACTAGTAGCAAGAAGCTATTAGGGTGGAGGCCATCGCTACTAGTAACAATAATTTTCCCGGCAAGAGACCCCAAACAGTGTGTGTGAGGTCTGTAAGCAGAAAGTCTAGAGATCTAGACGCATTGGGGTCGAGAGAGGTGATGGTGGTGATGAAGTGAAGGTGGGTGTTAGTGAGTGTGAGTGAAAGTGAGAGTGAGTGTGGGTGAGTCAGTGCGCGTGTGAGTGTGAATGCGAGTGTGAGTGAGAGCGAGTGAGAGTCTGTGAGTGGGAGAGTGAGTGGGTGTGAGTGTGAGGAGTGTGAGTGTGAGTGGGAGTGGGTGAGTGTGTGAGGGAGTGCGAGCGCAGTCGAAATGCACTTCGAGGGCTTCGAAAGGCATGAATGTACTGTAAATAGCAACGAATTGGCCAGACACGCCCGCGCGCTTCAGCGATCTAAGCATCAGCTGCTTTTCCACTACCGTAAGAACCCCCAGTTGGGGAATGAAACGCAAAGTCCACTGAAGGGACCTCAACTTGTTGTGTTTCCTATAACGCTGAATTGCGTTGGTGCGTGTGGCTTCCAGACTTAGGGGCTGGTGATTTCATTTGATAAGGTCGGAAAAAGGAAACAAAGAAAGAACATGAAGAGCATTCTTGCTGCTGAAAGTTTATCCTCCGAGAATGCAGTGCTCCTCACCGCTTCCTCCTTTCAAAGCGAAGAAAATAAGATAAATGAAGTCGAAACATATGTTCGAGAAAAACGGAGAAAAAATAAAACTAGAAAGGACACATATTTTTTTACACATATTCAGTTATGATCTTTGCTTGAATGCGTGCACGTGAGGTTCCTTGGCGCAAGTCACCGCGAAGCGCCGGGCAGTGCGTCGGCTGCGGCAGCACGCGCTGAATCGCCGCACTCTCCGGGCGCAGCCACTCGGAAGACGAAAGAAGAAAGGTCCAAAAGCCCAACCTACTACTGGGTAGAAGGAAAGAAAAAACAGGACACGGAAAGAAGAACCGAAAGAAAGGTCCAAAGGTCTAAAGAGATCTAAACTACAAGCGATGGCCTCCAACCTACTAGCGGCTATCTCATGCATTGAGATGGTGGTGCTTTCAATTTTTGCCTCCATGCCCCATGACATGTTGTTTGTCCTCAAGCAGGTTCATTCCTGTTCGTTATTCTAGTGGATAATCGGTATGCCATTCGTTGTCACCAAAGGCACTATATATTGTATGATTGACTCCCAAACCCAGAATGGCCAAGTAGCGCCGAGGGTCTCGGGAATAGCGAATAGGATCATGCGTAGACAATGAATGAAATAGCGCATAGGAATGAACTTGTTTGAGGAAACAAGACCCCGAGCCCACGTATCTCACTCATCTCATGAAGAAAGAAAGACATCTGAAAATACTTGAAAGAGAACAGGCCTGCACATATGAATCAGAATTGCTGTAAATTACTACCATAGATGACAGAAACTCTTGTGCGCTAGTTCTGCTTTGCCGTATTAGACAATACGAGCGAAGACAAAGTCAGCTGTAGAACAAGGAATGGGGAGACGAAATAGAACAAGGAACTGCAGGCAGAAGGACCTGGTAGCTAGTAGGTTGGAGGCCATCGCTCTTAGGAGCGATCGGGCGCTACTAGGGGCTCCCGGCCTTACTACTAGGAGCAATGTTCGCTACTAGGGGCTCCTGCTTTCTTTAGGCCTTAGAGCTGACTGCAACGTTTGAAGGATCTGAAGCTTCTTGTTACTACTAGCAAGGCACTTATTACTAGAAGCGATGCACTTGTTCCTAGTAGCTTCTTGTTTCTACTAGCGATGGCCTCCAACCCTAAGAGCGATCATGAAGGATCATGAAAGGTCTGAAGCCGAACTGTGAGCGTTGAGGCGCCGCGCGGGACAGCTGAGCACTACTGCTGCACATTTGTCAACTGCAAGCGGAACCTTGCGCTCAGTGCAGGAGACTGGGCGCTGAGTGGGAAAAACAGCTTTTGGCAAATTGAGTGTTGTTCAAACAAGTTTTAAACAACTTCATTAGTAGAAAAGGTTTTGAACAAAGCATTCGAGCTTGTGACAAGAGAGATCGTGGCATCCCAAATCCTCTTAGACACCTGGAAGTCTTTTCTCACCTTGACTTTAGACCGGTTCTTTGATTATAGGAACAATAAGCTACTAGGAACAAGTGCATCGCTACTAGTAACAAGTGCCTTACTAGTAGTAACAAGAAGCTTACATTGCATTTCTTCGCTGTTGCACGTCCCTCTATACCCACAGGATCTGAAGCGGGACATGGGGCCCATGAGGCCCTTGATGGGTCCAGGCGCTTGGGAAGACACATCTTCAATGTTTGTAGAAAAACAATCCCTTTGCTTCTAGTAGCGAACATTGCTCCTACTAGTAAGGCCAGGAGCCCCTAGTAGCGTCCTTGCTCCTAAGAGCGACGGCCTCAACCTTGTGAGGCAGCCAGAAGCCAAAGGCATTGCCAGCGCCATCGACTCGAGCGGCGGGCTCCTCGATGGCTCTCAAAGATGGCACGGCATCGATGTCAATGAGTCAAACTCTTCAGGCCCAAAAACGTCAGAGATGAAGAACATTGCTCCTAGTAGTACGGCCAGGAGCCCCTAGTAGCGATGTCAGGAGCCCCTGGTAGCATCCTTGCTCCTAGTATCATAGATGTCTTATTAACTTTTTATTCCTCATTGTTTAGCCCGCTGCGGGAGCTACTAGTAGCTGGGTGCAGGATAGTTTACGCTCGCACTATTCATTTGTTCCTAGAATTTTATGCAAAGAATGCAAAGAAGACAACTGTTGTGATGACATCATATTGACCTTGTGAGCCATGAGTCACAAAGGTTCGAAAGCGGTTTCATTGTCAGCTTATTTTCTTGAGATCATTAACCCATCGCTATTAGGTTGGAGGCGTGATTTCTCCCTTTGAAATGAAGATCTAATTCTGAATTCACTTGTTCCTAGTAGCTTCTTGTTACTACTAGTAAGGCACTTGCTCCTAGTAGCGTGGCACTTGTTACTACTAGCTTCTTGTTACTACTAGTAAGGCACTTGCTCCTAGTAGCGTGGCGCTTGTTACTACTAGCTTCTTGTTCTGAATTCGCCAGTCGTGGAATGGAAGAGATCCAGCAGAGACGGGACTGTCTTTGTCACCATCTCAGACTGTCGCCACTTGGAGGAAACGATCGTCACTGAATCCAGGGCGGACTTCGACGACGTTTAAAGGACAGTGTTCTTTGCAAGGATCCTTCCGCAAGGATACTATGATAAGGCATCTGGGTATTTTTGTCCACAAACCTTGTGAGCGCCTGAATAAGTATACGCTAAAAGAAGAGTCAGAATCACTACGTCATCTGTCTTGAGTACGCGATCAGTTGTTGGAGCGCAAAGCTCCGCAAAAATTGAGAAAGTCACATTGATGCGTCCCATTCACGGCAACCTTTAGTAAAAGGCGAAAGATTGGTGCGCTATGAAGTGAACGCTGTGATGACTACATTGGCTTTCCTTGGCTTTCATGCCACAGAGATTCTACACGCCCCTCCATCATAGCCATTCCGTGAACATTTTGATGAAGGACTCTGCTCTGGTCAGATGAGCATGTTGATGAGCCTGTACGCATAATCTACCGACCCGCGTACACACATCCTGCTCCGTCCTCAGCTATTTTGCTCTGGTCAGATGAGCATCTTGATGAGTCTGCGCGTATAATCTACTGACCCGCATACGCGCATCTAGCTCCGTCTTCCGCTATTTGTTACCCCATAGGGTGTGCTGCCACTGGCTCAGTGCCATGCCAGCGCAACACGCGAAGGCCCCCAAGCAAGCTCAGGAAGACACTTCCCCAACAAAAATTGATGTGACAAGCAAGTCTCCAGTTGGAGACATATCAGTTGTCACACTGATAAGAACAGATACGACACTTGATCATAGCCAAAAGGCCGAGAAGGTATGATTGTCCTCGCCTCCTGGCCTCTTCATGTGAGACTATGTTAGCCAGCCTCGACCAATCAACAGGCCGCAAGTAACAAAAGAATCAGCTGCGCACAGCTGATGGAGGCAGGTAGCCTTACAGGGTTTGCTCAGGGAGACAACCAACTCAAGGCCAAAGTGCGAAGAGTTCCTCTTAGTCACTGACCTGACAGCTACAGCTGTGCAGGACTATAGCCTCCACTAGCGTACATCTGCCTATGTATATATACACATAGTGCGCATACAAATATATATATATATGACAGACATGTATATACATATGTATACATATAGCGCATAGTTTCCATGACCTCCAAGGACAACACCGACCGTCCAAAGGACACATGCGCGCAGTTTGTTGTAAAATCTTTTAGACGTGCGCAAGAGCACTCAATGGGTAGATGTGTATATACATATATATGTGTGTATATATATATGTGTGTATATATATATATACATATATGTTTATGTGTAAACATATACATTTTGATATTTATAAATATATATATATATCATTTTGGGGGGGGCTGCTCTCTGTCCATCTATCTATCTACTTAGTTCTGTTGCGTGTTTGCGTGCGTCAGGACTGCATACGCGCGCATAAAGTCTCGGTTCCCGTGGAAACTATACGATATGTGCGCATGCGTCAACATGCACATTGATGTACACGCACGCAACCCTATACACTTGTTGGCAACAGCTCGCAAGCTAGTTGCCTCTCAAGAAATTCTGCTATGGATGACTCCATCGGAGACTCCTAAGGCGTTACAGGCCTCAGAGTGCAGTGAACTGCTCGACCCTATGAGAGCGAGCTGCTGGATCTCCGCCCAACACTAGCCAGGTAAGTTTACAAAACCTTGCCAACTGACAGACTTATTCACATAGGCCGTTACACTCACCACGAATAGGGCACCCTGCGAGACTTGGGAAAAGTTTCGTACTAAAACTCTTGACCGCACCTCTCTCACCACATCCAAAGACGCACCCGATCCATGCTCGGCTACTCCGAGGCTTGGTGACTCCCTTAATAAGTAATATTTGCTATCTTCTACGTGTGAAAAGACACTTGAAAAAGAACGTGAGCCTGGAGTCGTAAGGCAAAAAGGCCTGCTTTGCAGCAAGAGCCCAATGTGTACCTTGAGCCAAAATGGCTACGGTGCCTACACACGTGCATCTGTCTTGACTTAGCTGATGAGGTGGTCGACTTCAGCTCTACGTCAAATCCATATGCGCTGTGTCACTAAACATACCGCGGAGTTGAAACAACTAGAAACAACGCGGAGTTGAAACACTTGCATACGCCCTGCGCGATTTCATATGCTCTTTGTTGGGCCGAGGCCCGCATAAAAATTGCAAGAATGACCTTGACGATCAAACTTGACGGGAATTGGAGTAGTTTTCAACTAGCAAACAGCGCACCTCCGCTAAGCGTCACTGATAGCGCTATTGCCCCTTCCGCAAGGATACTATGATAAGGCATCTGGGTATTTTTGTCCACAAACCTTGTGAGCGCCTGAATAAGTATACGCTAAAAGAAGAGTCAGAATCACTACGTCATCTGTCTTGAGTACGCGATCAGTTGTTGGAGCGCAAAGCTCCGCAAAAATTGAGAAAGTCACATTGATGCGTCCCATTCACGGCTTAAAAAATCTTAAAAAGATTGTAAGCACATGGTTCAAGGGAGTAAATGCTCGTATGTTACGCTACGAACGGAACAAAGGACATCGCTACTAGGAGCAAGGACGCTATATATTTTGTTTGTCAAGACTTTAAGGTGTTGTTTGTTCCGTTGATATTCTATTCTGATCTATTCCGTGTGTGTGAGAGTTCTAACATGCGCATTTGCTGTTGTTTTGCCAGAAGGGCTGGATTTGTGATTGTGTATACTTGTTTGGTTTCTTGTTCGAGGTACTAGTTTCAACTTTGAGGGAGGCGAATACATCATTGATGTCATGCAATGCTTTGATTTTCTGAATGTTGTTGTCCTTTTCAATGCTATCAAGTTATTGTTTTTTGTCAGTGTTTGTTTGTGATTTGAAACTGGTATTCATGTTGCTTTGGTGTAGTTTGTTCGTTCATGTTTAACGCGACACTTGGAATCTCAAGCTTTAAGGGACTTTTATCCTTGTGCTTGTCTCAAATTCCTCTTTGCGCGTCTCCTTGTATGCCATTTTCATTTTAGTGCACTTATTGCATAGTCGGAATTCACGACCTTGTGAGCATGTCGATGAAGACCATGTGGACCATATGAACTCCATGAAAAAAAAGGCGGAGTTAGGGATGACGGAGTTCATGCATGAGGAGGGATGACGGCATTACGTCAAAACGAAGAGACGGCGAAGGAATGAAGGATGGTGAAGCACACAAGAGAGCGAGCTCGAAAGGTCAAGAAACGAAGCAAGTCAATCACGGTCGGTCCTTTGATCAGTCGAGAGCAACGAAGCCATGAGATCGGCGATAGTAAAGGTGTGATCAGATCGAGACCTGATGCGACGTGAAAGACAATCGGTTTGTGAAGTATGCTAGCGATGCCCTCCAATAGCGATCGAAGAAGGCTTTGTGATGCCAAGGATTTGGAATCTGGACTTTCACCAACGAGTCAAGCTCCAACGATTCCAGGGGAGGTGCAACACTTGTCGAAGTATGTTTAACACTGGATCTTGCCTGACAACTTCTGACAGTCGAAGATTTTGTAGCAACAGCGCATTCTGGTGGCATGTTCTACTCTAAATGTCTTCGAGCATGTCCCAAGGAAGACATGGCATGTTAAAGGACCACCTTGGCTTCTTTGCCTGTTTGGCACAGACTGAACTTAGTAAAGAATCAAAGATGGAATGGGCGAACAAAAGACAAAGAAGCAAGAAGTACTGTAACATGTATAGACGGATTGATTAATTAACTACACAATCTCAACAAGAGACAATAAAGATAAGCAAAGCAGTGGCCATCATTATTAGAAGTGTAATTACTAGCTTCTTGTTACTACTAGTAAGGCACCTGTTACTACTAGCGAGGCACTTGTTTCTACTAGCATTGGAGAAGCAAGATCTCCAGGTGAATGCCTCGATGTCGATGACCTCCGAGTTCCGGGAATTCCCAGCCGAACCGCAGGAACGGGGCGTGTGGCAACTGGGATAAAAGAACACAAAAACCGGAGCGTCTAGTGGCTTCTTGTTCCTAGTAGCGAGGCCCTTTGCTCCTAGTAGCGTCCTTGCTCCTAGTAGTAAAACCCTTTGGTAGAAGCAAGAACTCTTCTTTTGGCTTCATTCCTAACCTACGAGCAAGGGCCTCCAACCTACTAGCGATGGCCTCCAACCTACTAGTGATGGCCCCCATGCTTTCTTGGTTTTTGGTTGCTTTAGACCTTTACACTCTAGACCCTGCAATCTTAGAATGTTCATTCCTTTCTGCCCGCCTTGGATATGAAGCAAGAAGGGTGTTTGATCTGCAGGGGGCGACATGTGTCATTGTTGAGAGAAGAGTGAAGCTTGTTTGACTTCCAATGTCATGTCACCTGCAGCATGTTTGACTTCCACGCTGTTTGTCACCTTCGCCTACGAGCTTCATTCCAACAACATTGATCAAGACTCCATAGGAGCGAAGTTGACCTTTGGATCTCAAAAGACTTCCAAGACCTCGAAAGGAGGAGCACGGACGCTACTAGGAGCAAAGGGCATCGCTACTAGGAGCAAGGACGCTACTAGGGGCTCCTGGCCTTACTACTAGGAGCAAGGGCGCTACTAGGAACAAAGGGCATTACTACAAAGGAGCTTCTATAAGAGCCATAAATGGGCGATCACCTCCTTGGAGAGTCTTGGGATGGTTGGTTTCACCTCAGGTATTCCGGCTACAGCATGGCCGGACCACCTGCGCTTGGGAATTCGTTGCTGATTGTGTGCTTCGGCGATGCCAAGCGTGGACAGCTGGGCGTCGAGCCCGTCACGGGTGCCAGGCAACCAGAAACACGAACGAGAACGCCTCAGGTAAACTCCTAACGAAAACGCCATACTTTCAGTAACAAGGTTCGCTACTAGAGGCTGCTGGCCTTACTACTAGTACCAAGGTTCGCTACTAGGGGCTCCTGGCCTTACTACTAGTAAGAAGCTACTAGGGGCTCCGGGCCTCACTACTAGTAAGAAGCTCCTTACTAGGGGCTCCTGGCCTTACTACTAGTAAGAAGCTACTTACTAGGGGCTCCTGGCCTTACTACTAGTAAGAAGCTACTAGGCGCTCCTGGCCTTACTACTAGTACCAAGGTTCGCTACTAGGGGCTCCT